GCTGTAGCCACCTGGTAGTACAACATTTCCTCCTGGAAGTTCAGTGTAACTGCCAATTTCCATGAGGTCTATTTCTTCCATGGTGTTACAACCACTAATGCATGTTTCTCGGTTGAGGAGGTAGTTGAAGATAAGGTTTCTAATGCGTCTCTCGTGCTCAGGAAACTGCTCAAGGTATATGGATATCTCCAACCTTATGTGGGCACCAACACTCTCAATACCATCTGGAGGAATATATTTACACAAAAAATATTCCTCGCAGCGCTTGAAGAACCAAAAGTAGGCATCATAGATTTCCTGGAAGGAAGAAATCTATTTAGTATCTCTGACAATATAATCCTATCAAAGGTGGCATTCCATTGAAATGCCTACAAAGTTTTGCATTTATTGGTTATTACTGAAAACACTAAAGGATCATAAAACTCTAAATGAAACAATCTTTAAAACATTATACAATGTATTCCAATGTTCATATGCCATCATAACATGCAAAAGAAGAAGAAGACGATGAAATAGAAAGAAAATAGAGAGAAAAATAAAAAGTCTATTATACCTGTACTATGTGAAAAGGAACTCTTCGACCATCTGGTAGTGTTGCCACAACGTTATGAGGTTTATTATCCTGGATGATATTCACCAATCCATTTGCAGAAGCCAATTCATATATAGGATTCCCCAGGATGCCATGGATCCAGTTAGCACCAAGTTCCATTTTCCGTCCATCTGGCGAGAAATAATATCAGTCACTTTTAAATGAATGGCTTTAACACCTCTCCCTGACTTTACATCTTTTACATATCTTATACTTCATACTCTAGCTATATAACTACAACTGACATTTATAGTAATAGTAGCTGTATATAGTAATAATTACTGTAATTACTGATTTAAGGATATCAATTTACCTTATATTTGAACAATGCCAAGTTCTGGTATAAAGATCAAAGACTGTGCCCTGGCAATACTTCATTTGCATGTGAACAGCAATGCCTAATTTGCATGCAGAGAGAACTATGCAGCACTGTGTCCTTGGGCTTGCAAAATGAAGTTGCTGCGGCTACATTTGAAGTACTCTAAGTCAGCTAAATTATACGAAAAAAATAAAGATGAAAAGAAAAGGAAAACGAAAAGTTGCATGGTCGGCTGTCATATTAATGATTAATGGAATTTTCAACTATTCTGGATGTATAACAATCATATACAAATCATTTTAAGCTCTAAGCTGCTAATCATGCATATACTTTTCCTATTTCATTTATCATAAAACTGTTTGATATAATCTTAAAATGCCTTGGAATACCTTGAATATTCATACCAGTAAAAAGGATATTTTTGGAGGATACTGAAATTTTAGATATTTCATTAATCTATTAATGACATCCTTAATCTAAAAAAACAACATGATTAATAGACGGTACTAATTGTATGCATTTCCTTTTCATCACAACAAAACTTGTATGAACCAAAAATATACAACATATACATATATTTTTTTTTCTTTTTTTTTTTACAAATCAATGATAAAGAACACATATCATAAAAGAAACACTATATCTGGTCATCTGTGGATAATCTCGCCATATATACTACGATTGTGAGCTGATTATTGTTGGAGAATTAAACCCCTAGGAGTTGTGGGAACTTATCTCCTCATAAGGGAACCTACAACCACTTATAAGGCAATAGCAAAGCTTTATTCATTTAGTCTCTGTATTACATGACCTTACAAATTTCTGAGCCAAAAACCCAAATCAATACTTTGTCTATTAATCACAATAAAAAGTTTAGTTAAATATAATCAGCTTTTGTAATTAGAATCACTGATAATATTGAAGGTAAATGTTTTGAAGACACTGGGGTATCTGCTACTGGATATGCGCCAATACATGTAGCTGCCATGCCTATGGATACTCAGCCAAACACCAACAAACCTTCTCCATGCATTTTCTAGCAAGATCTGTGTTCATAGACCTCCCTAGTGATTTACATTTACTGTTGAATGAGGAACAAGTTCAAGTTCTATTTTGCTTGAATATATGTAGAAGACATTTGTTGACCTTTGCTGGGGTGACACATACAGAGGAAATACAGATTGTTTGACAAGTGTCAACATTCCATATATTTTTTTTTACTGTAACCCTGATTGTTATCCGCGGTAATTTTACCGAAAAAAGTCCTATTACGAAAGGCACTATGGGTATCTTTAACAAATTCATGAAATTTACAATACAAATTTAGTGAAAGTAAGTCGCACATTCACGTGGCTGTCATGCCTTAGGTGCTTCGACAGCGGCCAACAAACCTCTACTTGACATAGGACCAGACAGGACCTGGACTGCTTCCTAATATTATAATAAACTGTCAGATAGATCAACAAACCATACACATGACATGGTGATAAAGGCTAAGACCTTTTCTCTTCTTTTTATCAATTCTACATAGTAAATATTTTTGATTTGTAACATCCATATTGTGAAAAAAAAATCCAAAAATGCACAGATCTATCAATTCCACATGATAACTACCTTGAATCATATACACAAACCATAAGCTGTAATTACAGCAAGCCTCCATTCATATCACATACAAAAGGCTATCATTAATACAAAACATTAAGCTGTCATTAGTAATAAAATAACAACACAGGCCTATTTTGAATAAAACCCTGGCCACCACAGTCGACTTTTAAGCCTAACCTTCAGCCTACTATAAACATGACATGTATGCCTAGTAAATGCCATAAACAGAAGTACCAACGTCAACTATTGCACAGAAACATCACACACACACTACAAATACCAAGCTTTCTCACATTAAATTCCTCTGACTTTCCTCTATCAACATCGAAAAATCACACAACAAAGCACCTGGGAATAAACCAAATAAAAGAACATCCTAAAACGGCTATTCTACACATGGAGGAAAAAGAGAGACGGAAATCCCTAAAACAGGTCACGATCTCGCGACCCACCGATGGTAATAGCGATGATCCGACCCCCGACTCTGTTCCTCGCCTCGAGTATCACGAAGTCATGGATGTTATTTTTCATCAGGTGATTCGCCGCCGACAATCCTGCCATGCCTGCGCCGATGATAACCACTTTGCACGTCTGGAAACACTCATTTTGGTTCTCCTGGCCCCCCGTGTCGTCTGCCTTCTTCGCAGACATGTTTACATCGCCGAGTGCCCAGTGTTGCCAGCTCGGGCGGAGTCCTCTCGCTGGCCGCAGATCCTGGGACTTTTTATTGTTGTTATTTTCGGTGTGATTTTGAGCCATTGTGTGGGCATGGGTGTTTCGAGAGTAGTATGTTCCGTGATGAGTTATTTGTTTTAGGTTATGGTTCTTTTATCTCACTGATTTGATGTCAGTTGTGATGCAGTAGCCATATTTTTCACCTAACATGATAATGCACACATTTTCCTCATATCTATACTAATTCCTTTATCAACCAATGTAAGCAAACAGCCTATTATATCATTAGTCACATCAATTTCTATAAGTGACGTTTTAGCAAAGATTTCGCTATTAGAAAGGCAGACGCTGAACTACCGCCTCCCCAGTTTTGCCAGAACCCAAAAGTCATAAATAAATCACAAATTTCCCCCAAATGTAACACAAGAATCTTTCCACATACAACTGAGTTATAGACTACTTTTGATCACAACTGTTACCCAGCGTCCAGAGTACAGTCGACTGATAGGATGAAAAAGATAATACACACTTTTGTAAGGCTGCATTGATATGGTTTATAAATAGCGTATATAAACTTCAGCTTGGTATAGTATACTATATAATCAGTACAGAATGTAAAGAAGTGCTCTTCTTCACTTGTAGATTTTAGAGAGAAATATATATATATGGAAGACGTACATGGGACACTTTCACTGGTATTTTGAAGTGTCAGGGTTTGACTGCGTGGATGAGTCATACGGTACCATTGAACTCGGATAATGTCAGCCAGTAATTCCTATCTCTGTCATTCGCAAGTTTTCGCAGCTAAAATACACGGTAATTGTGATAGGATTGTATTTTAAGGAGTATCCTCTATGCATCTATAACTTCTCTTGTAGAAGACAAAATAGAGATCTCAAATTATCTAAGAAAGAGATAATTACTGTATTTATTGCATTGCTTGCCTTGTTTTACCTGTTTATCTATTTTATTTGTTGCAAGCTATTTCCAAGCGAAAATTTCCATGTGATTATTTCCATCGTTCTGCTTAACCTTCGCCTTTTGAAGGGTGAACCACAGCCACAAAAATCGATACAGAGCAACCACACTCGGTCAATTTGGACAGGTATCCAGCGTCAGTCACCTCCTCCACTACCCTAATAATGGATGATGTATAGTGCAAATCCTAGCTCCAGGGTCTCATGCTGCGAGGTATGGTGTAAAGTGATGCTCTATGCTTAAATCCACCCCGAGGAAATACCGCAATGCCATATTTCGACGAATTCTTCATTCTCGCAGCTTTCACTGTCGCTAAACAATGTATGTCTTGTTATTCTGCAGTGCCACGCGTTCCGCTGAGAAAAGCATGTCGTGTTTAAACCCAGGATTAACCATTCTTCAAGGTGAACGTGTGATTAAGGCAACAGGCATGGGATGGGAAGCACCTCAGTTCCTTTTTCCATCATCTACGTCAGTACTGCCAATCTCATTCATCCCTAGAGGCCACATTTCACCTTAAATATAGAGTTTGCGGACCAGATAAACAAGAGTCGACGCTGCGAGACGCCCACTGACACAAAAACGTTTCATTTCATTCGTTACAAAAAACACAATAAAAAAAAAAAAAACTTGTAGGAGTGTAAATCATGGTCTTAGAAGACGATGCACTGGCTTAGTTCATTATGCTAAAAGGCCGAGTGGAAGACTGGAATAGCAAATACACCGCGGGCCGCACATAGGGGTGTGGAGGGCCACGCATTTGACACCACCCGATCTACGTCATACCCGTATATCACTATTCCCCTGAAGTTAGCGTCTAGATTTCAT